CGTGAAAAAAAAAATTGGAAAGGGGTGGGGGTTAAAGGGGGGGGGGGGGGAGAGAAGTCTCCTCGACTCTGAAGCCTCACTCAAATGGACACGCAAATCATGGTCTCAGCCAATCAGAGATAGTGAAGGGTGGAACCCTCCTCTGATTGGCCATGGTCCAGATATTTTTATGCATTTTGTTTTTTTTAATTGAGCACTCAACATGGCTGGCTACTCACTCGCACGTGTGAACATGTGGAATATCTTCTCTATGTCATGCAACAAGCAGACCAACAAACATTGTGGTGAAAAAAAAAAGTGTGGGACAATATCGTGGTATGTGTGACCAAGAGTTATACTCACAGCAAACTTCCAATCTGACTATCATTGCCTCACCAGCCATGAACCTCACTGCCCTTCACTGCATCAAGCCCACTTTGCAGTGTACGTTCTGTTCTTGTTTTGTTGTTATTCCTGTCAATTCACTGTTAATTTGTCCTATTTTCCTGAGCAGCCTCAAGGTGCTTATACCAAACAACCGACCTGCGTTCCTTACAACTGCCGACAGGCACCAGTCAGCTGTGGTGAAAACGGGTGCCTTATTAAAAATGTGCACTTGCCTCATTATTGTGACAGTATTTCTAACATCTTTCCAGTTGTTCCGGAGTATTAATTGCCTGCCACACGCCGCGGAAAAATATTGGTCAATTTCCAAACTGCAGGAACTTAGGGGTGTATGAAATATGAGATTCGTTTAAAAAAGCCCCCCCCCCCCCGCCAGTTAGTCTTTATCAGTACTAATAGAAAAGTGTGACATTTATGTTAGACATGTAGTCTGCTGTTAGGTAGAATACCCATCAAATATAATGTGCCATTAAAGGGATTCAGTGGAGTTGGGCAACCCGGCAGAGGAAGCCAAAGCCAAGCGTTTGCTGGACAACCTGGTGGCAGAGCTTCAGAGGAAAGCCCAACTCCAGGGAGGAGAGGATGGCTTTCTTCTGAAGATCAAGCTTGGACACTATGCAAATCAGCTAAAGGTAAACAAGCAAAACAGATTCACCATTAATTACCTAAATAATAATGGAACAAAACAAAAAACCAACACATTTTCAAGAGTTTGTTTTGGAATTTTCTGACCATCAAAATCCTTATGTTTCAACTCAAATGTGTGATAATTCTCAAAAAAATAATAAATCCCTCTTTTGTTGAATTGTCAATGCAGAGCACATATGACCGCTGTCCTTTGGAGCTGGTGCGCTGCATCAAACACATCCTGTGCTCCGAGCAGCGATTGGTTCAAGAAGCTTCAAATGTAAGTGTCGAAGTGAAACCGGAACCGGAACGAATAGACTGCCGGTCAAAAATAAAATTGCAACTAGTTATCGAAGAAAGTCCAGTCGAGCTTCTTGATTACTATGGCGGTGTCTGCTATTCATCAATTACAATTCCCCATTTTACAATTCAAATGTTTTGTGTTCAGGCAAATTGTGTGAGTGGGGGCCAGGCCATAGACAGCCTCTCCCAGCGCCATCAACAGATCAACCAGGCCTTCGAGGAGCTCCGATTAGCCACGCAGGAGACTGAGAATGAACTGAGAAAGCTGCAGCACAGCCAGGAGTATTTCATCATCCAGTACCAGGAGAACCTGCGCCTCCAAGGTATACACTTGTTTGCTCCAGCATCCACTTTCATGCTACTTGAGCAAATCGGAGCCTTCTTTTTGGATTGTGTCAAAACGTTCTTTAATTTACGTACCTGTGAACATGGTTATGATTTGAGCTATACAATTTCATTTTTGATAAGTGCAAGGCATCTCCAACCGATAAAAAAATTTCCAGCAACCTTTCTTCCTTACAGATGATAATAGTTCTTAAACCAATATAAATAGTTTCAGCAGTCTTCTTAATTTTTATCCTTTGCTCACTTCAGCCTAGTCTAATCGCGTGTTGTGCAATAAAATAACAGATTTTCACCGGTCCAAGTCTTAGGAAATGTTCGTCAGGAAACAAATAGCTACTCACTGAATCGATTATGGTTAAATAACTAAACAAAATAAGTGGTTTTCATTCCCACTGTGTGAGGTTTTCTCTCTGGCTCTAATCTTGCTTCTGTTCTGGTCAGCCCAGCTGAGCAGTCTGAGCTCCTTGCCTCCAGCTGAGCGCACCCAGAGGGAAACCACGCTCCAAAGCAAGAGGGCCACCGTGGAGGCCTGGCTCGCCAGAGAGGCCAGCACATTACAGAAATACAGGCTTGTATGAATATTCAGTATTCACTTCAGATAGTTTCTTTGCTAGCAGCTTTATTGGTTTGAATGGCAATGTCACCTCACACCGCAGAGCTTTCAAGATGTTCTGCTAATTCTTTTTCACCTCCCTCTAGTCCAGTGGTTCTTCACCTTTTTAGAGGTACCGAACCCAACCAGTTAATATGCACATTCACCGAACCCTTCATTAGTGAAAAAGAAATATATATATATATATATATATATATATTGTTTACAAATTCAAAATATATATTTTAAAAAACGTGTTTATTAAAAAAAAAAAAAGTACATAAAATTTCAAGGGATATGTGTACTTAAAAAAAAAAAAATTGAATGACGTACTATCACGACAGTCACACCTTGACTACGAAACGAACTAAATTTCCCACAGCACTGATTAGACAAGCAATGTCATGTGATCATCTGCAGCGGGCGTGTCATAACTAATTGATATGTTGAGTCCGGTGTGTCTTAACCTCCGTCGAACCCCTGAGACCGATTCACCGAACCCCTAGGGTTCAATCGAACCCAGGTTAAGAACCACTGCTCTAGTCTATCGACATTGTAGTTGTCATGTATCCAAGCATGTTGTTTGACTATTATTACGTGGTCCTTACCTTGGGAATTGGGAATCTATGTGACTACGTATTTGTCTCCTAGTAAATCCTCTCTTAATGTAGCCTTTATTTTACAAAATACATTTTCCAAATTACCTTCCTTTCTTCAGCTATATTTTGTGACCAACTCCCTGCTTACCTGCAGAAGAGTAACTCATGTTTTCGGCTGACTCTGAATCCACACATCGTACTTGAACACTCAGTAAATGTACCAGCAATTCAGTTACCCCAATTGCGAAATTCCGTTTCGAAACGTGCACATTTTCCAAACATTACGTAAACACATTGTCAGTGCCAGTACTTGGCAGAAATTCTCCCAACTCCTTCACTGTTGCTGTGGGTGACTTGACAGTTTTTTTTTAATGTTATTTCCCTCCCTCGTTCATCTTTTCGAATGTTGTTGTCAAAATTAACTCTCAATATTGTCCAAGAGTGGAAATTCTCAATGGTCTACATTAGGGGATCCACAGAGCACGATCACGTTGACACTGCTTGTTTGGATCTTTTAGTTGCTGAAGCCATTTTCAAAAGATGCCAGATTTCTGTCATATAAGTTTGCCCCTTCCTTCTCGTTTCTCATGACTGTAGGGTCCACAACTGGTGGATTAAATAGTGGAGCTCAGACTGGATAGAAAATGATTAAATAATGAACTGGCGAAGGTCCGAAGGTCAATAACACACAGTGGAGTCCAAATTTGGCAAATAATGCGGCAAGCTGGATCATACACAACAAATACAATTCAAAAGGAGGAGCAACACAATGGCACATTGAAAAAAAAATGCACAAGTGGGGAAGGTATTGAAGTGCCGATTGAATGCATCAGTGGATGGTTGACATGCAGTCTTAAGGAGCACCCATGATGGACTAAACAAGGCTTTTGAAATGAAAAGAGATGCAATCAAAGTACAACATTGATATAAACGTGTCCTGGAAAGGACGCAGTTCCTGTTGATTTCTATTTTCTAACACTGATTTCATTTCATTCGTTCATTCATTTGATTTGATTAAGACGAGGATGGACTAGTGACTACTACGTACTACATTCCCCATATTGAATGGTACTATGATCTGAAATTTTAGCGCCCAACTCCAGGCCAGCATTCGTCAAACATCCTCAACGTACTCTGGATAGATAAACCTGGATGAGCCACGTTTTATTAAAGTGTTCAGGATATTCCAAGTTCCTTTAATGTTATTTTTATTTTCATACAGCCTTTTCTTATAATAGACTTGCTTGGTAGCGCTGACTTTTATCCGGTAGCTTGTTTTTATCAACCCTGTATCAAGCATTTTGTATTTGTTATTTTTCTTTTTTTTTTTTTTTGTTAACATTTTGTATTCGTTTGGTTTGCCAAGGACAGTTAACATACTTTTTTTATGGTGAAGGTATTTTCAAATGGTCAGTACAGTATCATAACGTGAGCGAAATAAAACCATCCTAGACTTAGCTCCAGGTTTGTAATAGTAAACAGTTGTTAAAAGTATTCATTGTGTCTTCAGTTCTTACCTTAAAATCACTGTCAGAAGGCATAGCAGGCCATGCACAGTTTGATCTGACATGACATGACTTTAAAATATTATTGATCATTATTGCACTGATATTCTACTGGGTTTGGCCATCACCTTTTGAGTTCCGTGAGGGAAATTTCTAAACAGACCCTTTGTATGACCTTTCTATTATTTTTTTTACATTTATTTATTTTGTACAAGTGTTATATCACACTCGTGTTCTCAGTGTGCGGGTCACGATCTGTTTGCAGGACCTGTCAGAACAACACCAAAAGACCCTAACCCTTCTGAGGAAACAACAGACATTGATCCTCGATGAGGAGCTTATCCAGTGGAAAAGGCGGCAGCAGTTAGCTGGAAATGGGGGTCCTCATGAGGGAGGACTCGATATTCTCCAGTCCTGGTATGGATTTAGGATTCCCTTTTGGTTACGTTTGACTTGCAAAAAAAAAAAAAAAAAAAAAAAAAAAAAAAAAAAAGTGTTTTGTTAAGAATGTTGTCTTCATCCACACTCATATGTTGATGGAATTGTTGTACAAATAAATGTGTCGAGCATGTTATGACCATATCCTCTTCTTTTTAGGTGTGAAAAGCTGGCAGATCTGATCTGGACAAATCGACAACAGATTCGACGCTGTGAACATCTTACTCAGCAGCTTCCTCTGCCAGGCCCCATGGAAGATCTCCTGAGTAAACTCAATTCAGACATCACTGATATCATCTCTGCCTTGGTCACTAGGTGAAAAAAAAACCACATCATCCTTACTGAGCTATATGGAAGACCATTGTGCTGCTTGCAGACTGACACACAGGAACAAATGTGTGAATTGTTTCAGATCGCTCACGGTGGCATTAACAAGGGATGTCACTGTCTCGTCACATTCGTAGTGCAAAAAGGCAGATGTTTTTCATTGAAAGTTGCGGGGAAAAATAGTTGTGTGATTAAAAACAGATGAACGAAATAAGTGTTAAGTTTCAACTCTGCTGCCTCATCAACATGAATCCAAATCACACGATAATTCAAATGGCTATGGATGTGGATCTCATTCCTTTTCGATAAGTCACTTCATGTCCTCTTCTCTTTAGTACCTTCATCATTGAAAAGCAACCGCCCCAGGTGTTAAGAACGCACACCAAGTTTGCTGCCACCGTGCGACTTCTGGTGGGCGGAAAGCTCAACGTCCACATGAATCCACCTCAAGTCAAGGCTGTGATTGTGAGTGAGCAACAGGCCAAAGCTCTCCTCAAAAATGAAAGCACACACAGGTGAGATTAAACTCCGGGAGCCTGACTTTGTTATGGTTGTATGACTATAGTGTAAATTCTGGATTTAAATAAGATCTGCTGTGTTAAATTGTGAATGCAAAGTGTTACTTGGATTACATGTACAGTCCTGCTTTGTTGGAAAAATCTGATTTATTCACTTTTTACACCCTAACTCTCCCCCTGGTTTGTTAGTGAAAGTAGCGGTGAAATCCTCAACAACAACTGTGTGATGGAGTATCAACAGGCGACAGGCACGCTGAGTGCACACTTCAGAAACATGGTAGGACTATGGTTTAAACCTCCTGTCATTTGTATCATGAAATGTCATTGAGCAGCTCATTGCAAAAGAAGTAGAATGCTTTCAATGGGAAATGGACTGCACTGACATCGCGCTTTATCTACCGTATTGTCCACATTATAAGTCGCACCGAAAAGCATTCAATTTTCCCAAAAGCTGACAGCGCCTTATAAGCCTTGGACATTTTCGAAGGATTGTTAACTCATTCGCTCCCAAAGACGTTTTTAAACGTCTTTTCAGACTTGGTCTAGAATTGGCTGGTATTGAATGAGTTAAAAACAGACAAAAGCAAACGTCCTTGGATCAGTTCTTCACAAAACGGCAGGCAAAAAACACTTCTGAGAGAGAACATGAACTAACGAGGGCAAAAAACAATGAGGATGCAGTTAAAAGTTAAATGACCATCATGTTTATTCTTTATTCTTTGTTTTGTTTGTTTTGCGCAACTCTCATGTATTGTGCAATAATCTAATTGTAACATGTATTTGTTACATATTTAGATGCATTTTTATGCTTTAGAAAACATTTATGTCTGAATGGGGGCTTGGAACGGATTAGGGCATTTACATGGAAAACGCGTCTCTACTTCCAACATCTACTAGTTAAGAAATTTCTTCCAGAACCAATTAATTTCGTAAGTAGAGGTACCACTGTACTATATTATAAGAAGCGTCATCTTCACCTCAAACTTTCCTTTTTGTTTCCTCCCACATTCCCTTCCCCCCAAAAAGCTTGCACGTTAGGTAACTCGAAGACTCGAAACCCTCCCATAGGTGTGAATGTGACTGACTTATTTATATGTTCCTTGTGATTGACTGGTAGCCAGTCCATATGGCTTTGGTCCAGGTTGTAGCCCACGTCTAACCCAACAGTCATTTGGGATCCGCTCCAGCCCAGCCGTGACCCAAATGAGAACAAGCACTATTTAAAAAAAAAAAAAATGGATGCTGTATAAATGAGGCGATATTGTTACATCCGAGCTATATCAAGACGATGAGTGTAAGACATGGATTATTAGAAAATACAACACACGTGCGTTACGATCCTGCTGATGAATGCAATTGGAGTTTAAAAATGTAGATGGTCACTTTCTTTGTTACCTACACTGCAACTGCATGCGTATGTGAAGAATTTCGGTTATAATTTATCAATCTATTTTTTGTGTGTTTAGTCTCTGAAGCGGATCAAGCGTTCGGATCGTCGAGGTGCAGAGTCAGTGACTGAGGAAAAGTTCACGGTTCTTTTTGAATCACAGTTCAGCATTGGAGGCAATGAACTGGTCTTCCATGTGAAAGTAAGCGAACTGTAATTCATTCACCTTTTAATTCCGTGGTTTTAAATTTGATTTTTGGGATACTGGATTTGACTTGTGGTTAAGGATACAAATGTATTTCAATAAATTGGAATGTGATCGAAAATAAATTCATTTCAGCAGTTCAATCAGAAAAGAATCTCATACAGATTCATTAAACGAAGAAAATGGCTTTAAAGAAGCCTTCCGAATTGCCATATTACAAGTCATGCTGTTTCTTATGTAATATCATAATTTCTGGAGATGGCGAATTTGGGGGTTTTGTCATTCTTTCCTTTGTTTTAACCTGCAGACTTTATCACTACCCGTAGTAGTGATCGTCCACGGTAGTCAGGACAACAATGCCACAGCGACAGTACTTTGGGACAATGCCTTCGCTGAACCAGTGAGTTGGATTCTGCGGTCTTATTTCCGTTGCATTAGTTTTATTGACCTCCAAAGAGTTTGTCCACACTCCATTCTTTCTACCATGATTTCACCACAGTCAGCATTTTTTGCAAACATTCCACGATAGGATCTGATGATAAACCTTTCAATAAGATGGCTTTGGTGTGCTTTATCCTTCGCACATTCGTGAGCGAGAACTTTCAGTTGTTCGCATCACGGCATTCAAGTGGTGGTAGCAGACAGTGAACATGAGTGGCGCCACTGCACAGCATTCCCACTGGGGGACGTTTCTCAAATCTGGTTGCAACCTATGAGTAGAACAACCCTATTTGCCAAGAAAAAAACAAACAGTATTTGCAAATGCTTACCTTGAATAAATATGGCAGTATTTTTTTCCCTTTCATTTTAATTACTCTTGTCTCTTCAGGGCCGGGTTCCATTCATTGTACCGGACAAGGTACTCTGGCCCCAGCTATGTGACGCCCTTGATATGAAGTACAAGGCAGAGATGCACAGTGGCCGTGGCCTGTCGGAGAACAACCTGGTCTTCCTGGCGCAGAAAGCTTTCACAACGACAAGTAACAACCCAGAGGAATACCGCAACATGACCATATCGTGGGCCCAGTTTAACAGGGTGAGGGCAGCATCTCATCACTATCGCAATAAATCTCTCTTCGGTAGTATATGGAAAATAATAGGCTCCTGAAGCGTAGTTTCCGCTTCACTGTTGCCCAGCAACTCTCAACTCAACTCTCCTGAACAGGAGAGCCTACCTGGACGCAACTTCACCTTTTGGCAGTGGTTTGATGGAGTCATGGAACTTATGAAGAAACATCTCAAGCCTCATTGGAATGATGGGTAAGGAATATATTTTGTTTTAGTGCATCTCTGGCAGAATCTGTTATTTCATGAGCTATGAAGCAAAAATACCAATAATAACTCTGCATATTCCCGTTGCAGGGCCATCTTGGGTTTTGTGAACAAGCAGCAGGCACAGGATATGCTTCTGTCCAAACCCAATGGGACATTCCTCCTGCGATTCAGTGACTCTGAAATTGGTGGCATCACCATTGCCTGGGTTGCAGAGAACCCCAACAAAGCAGGTATCAAATGTAGTGCACATTATAAAGTCTTTTACCAGGCTTCTACAGTCAGAGTAGACGACAACCTGAATGAAGTTCACTGACACTGGCCTGACCGGGCCAGTAAGTTTCATAAATAATTCCGATAAAATCAACCGGTTCATTATTTTCCATTAATTCATATTCACTGTATTGAATTTATCCACTTAAATTGTTCGATCATCATTGACCTTTTTGCCACACTGAGCACGTTATTTAGTTAAAAAAATTTTTTGCGGTTATGTGATGCTTTTAATATCATAACATGACAACGATATTGTGACATTTTTAATATTGCCTTATTGTTATCATTACATCCCTAATGTGACCATGTGATTTTTGGAGACACTGTGTACAGCACACTGAGTTGTGCAAGTGGTGAATATAATTTGATGCTGTTCCTTTTGGTGAGCAGGTGAAAGGCTGGTATGGAATTTGTTGCCTTACACCTCCAAAGATTTCTCCATTCGCTCCTTGGCTGACCGTATCAGTGATCTGAACCATCTCCTGTTTCTCTATCCCGACCGACCCAAAGATGAGGTCTTTGCAAAGTACTACACACCACCACTCTGTATGTATCAGCGATGAAGCTTGTGTACATGTTACCATACTACCATATTTTCCGTGATATAAGGCGCACCGTCAATGAATGGCTTATTTTAAAACAGTTTTCATGTATAAGGCGCACCGCATTATAAGGCACATAGAATAGAAGCTACAATAGTGGCTGCGGTTGCGTTAGGTATCCACTATTCAAAGATGAGGTCTTTGCAAAGTACTACACACCACCACTCTGTATGTATCAGCGATGAAGCTTGTGTACATGTTACCATACTACCATATTTTCCGTGATATAAGGCGCACCGTCAATGAATGGCTTATTTTAAAACAGTTTTCATGTATAAGGCGCACCGCATTATAAGGCACATAGAATAGAAGCTACAATAGTGGCTGCGGTTGCGTTAGGCATCCACAAGATGGAGCTACGCTAAATGGATAACAATACAATATCATACAGCTTTATTAATACAGAGCTTTTGCAACAGGCTGCAGCTGTAACAGCACTTGCCAGAACATTTAAAATACTACATCCAAGAAACATTGAGAAGATTTAATGCTTTTCGGTGTGACCTATTGTGCGGAAAATACGGTACTTACACTGTTTGAGTGTGGAGCCCTGCCTTCAAGGGTAAGAAAATACACAGAATAGTTTGCGTTGTTGCATTTCATGCATGTTTTACACTCACAGAATTCCTTATTCGATACACCAGCACAATCTAATGAGTCGGCTCTCCATTTCTCTGAGAAAAACTGACAGTCAACAAATTATACATCCATCCAACCATCCATTATCCCATCGAGGGTCATGTTCATGGGTGAGCTGGAGCCTATTCCAGCTGACTTTGGGTGAAAGCCTAAGTCCAGAAAGGTTGACAGTCAAGCACAAGGGACATGCACCATTCACACTCCCATATTACTCATGTGCCTATGGGCATGAATGAAGTATGGTTTTGAAAAACGGGAGGAAGCCAGAGACCCCCCTAGAGCATCCCCACATTAATCAAGCAATTACTTTATTTTCAAGAGAATGGGATAATCTCTATAAATAAGCAAGATCCGGATGCCTCTTTTTAATCAACAATCAATTCCACATAATCTTAATCAAATTCTTAATCGGCTGTTATTACTTCAAATGATATTTAAAGAAAGCGAAATCTGCTTTTACAATCGAAATACAAATAATGGAACCAATCATAGTACCGGTGGTGTTTCCAATCCAATACTTGACACATCTCAAGTTAAATAAGGTTGCCCATTTCCGGGAAGCAGCTCTCGCTATGATGCAGTGGAGTAAGCACAGTCACATTAATAGAGGGTGTACCTAATGAAGTGGAGCAAGTCTATGCGCGAGTAGGTTTCTTTATAATGCTGCCGTAGCCTCCAACCATAAGAACTTCTGAGGGCTTCTAGATTGTTTGAACATGTTTAAAGACGGACATCAAATAGATCGCGTTTCAGATTGGCCTTTTAATTAATTGAGGAATATTTCAGCAGCTTGCATCACTCTGGAAAAGGAGACGACGCTAAACGGCTGAGGTGTAGTCACCTTTGCCAGCGTGTTCGTCAGGATGGTGAGCGACAGATGAACAAAGACGCGTCCTTTAGTAACACGCACGTCTAACCATGTCAAGAACTCACATTGACAAGCAGTTTTGTGACTTGGAGGGTCATAGGATCCCTCGCTGTTTGTTTTTGCTCCTGTAAAAATCGCAGGAGATTGACGAAAAAGAAGAACAGCAAGACCACGTTTTGCTAACTCAACAAGTCATTGGAAAATGATGAATTTATTGGTTTTTTTTTTAACTTGTAAGAAATATGGAGCAGGTCTGGAAGTTTCCATAAATAGGACATCCGTTCTATTCACACGTGGGCTATGCTAGGTGTGAAAGGTTTTGGGAATTGGATCGCAAAAGCTTTATTGTATTTCAAAACCACAAAGCAAACTACACGTTTACCCCTTTGAACTAATCATGCAGTCAAATGCAGAGAATTTCTCCAATATCATGACAAATAATATTTGTAAACGATTGATTCTAATTTTTTTTTATCATAGTCTATAAAGCCACTTTGGCCCATCCGTATCTTGTTTTTCCATGACTGCTACACACAAGACAATTACTGAAATACCATGAGAGCAAAATTTACAACTTAGATCATGAGTAAAAGATCACGTGGGAAAAATTTATTGAGGTGTTGCCAAAGTATGAGGCACTCAGGTTCAGTGTTCTGCCCAAGGACCCTTCGAAAGATTCGGACCGTCGACCCTTCGGTCATTGGATGACTCACTTGTACCAACTGTGACGCAGGCGGCCAAAACGAAACAACGACTTGATTCTGCCATAGTGACATTCTGAACCGCACTACTGGAACATTAGCTGGCTGAGGGGGATACAATTCCGTCGAGTACAGTCAGGATTGGATTTTGATCCGCTTAATTTGAGCTGATACTGATCCCTTAAAACGTGTCCATATCTGCCTGGCTCCTATGGGTATGATGGTGTGACTATAAATGTGTACAAATTCAGGGACAGTGGTAGCTGAGTTTTGCAATGAGGCAAGTATTTTACCCATATGAAAATTCAACGGTGTTCCAGAGGAGCAGGATGAATTCGTTTCCAGCATAATTGATGAATCAAAGGTTGTCTTAATTCAGTTATTATCAGGAAAATGGCACTACTTTCTATTTAAGGACATACCTTTAATTACTTTGGCTTAATAAATTCATTGAGGGCACTCCATTGGGAGTTTAAAGGGTACTGAGCCTCGAGAAATGAGCGACAAATTAAAGTTCCCTTTTAAATGGCTTAAACTGAATCAAACTGCCTGATGTCAGCAGGAAGATCCAATAAGAAAAAGACCCTACAGGCTTTTGACCTTTGCAACTCCATGCACAGACACGAGCTCTGTCTTCTGAAATCAGAGGAGGGAATATGCTGTAAAATATGAATGTTGAGAATAGGAGGGGGGTGTTTATTTATTTTTTTTCTGTTTTAAAGGATGAGACATGGCCGGAAGGCAAGAATAAAAGTACCTGTGGACTGACTGTGGGGCCCCCAAAGAAACAAAACAAAGCACTCCACGAATCAATCCTGCTTGAAACAAAAGCAAGATTTTCTATCACAAAGAGAGGAGACCATATTTTGGTTGGCGTAAAAAACAACACATCTTTGATCTCTGATCAAGCGCATAACATCTCTTGGCTTGAGGAACTATTTGTAGATCAAAGAAGCATCCAGCAAGAGTTGACCAAAGCTAATGTCTTGAACATCTATGGGGAGGGGAACATTGGCCGTCATTTGCTAAGAAATGAGAAGGCATCTTTCTACTCTATGCACAAGTTGAACACATACAATCGAACCTCGAGGTCTGTACGTTGAATGTGTATGAATGAATATGTACGTTCGTAGTAACCATTTCCAATAAAATGGCCGCCAAATACGATGTATAAGGATTTAAGCCATTCACACTTATAGATGTGAAAACATGAACTTGTATGAAAGTATCAACATGTCAATTGCAAATACGTGTATGAAGAAAAAAATGATTTTATAAGACATGAAACAAACAACAAAGATGCACCGCGCCCCAAAGCCGTTTATGATCATTTTTCAATCGGTTGGCCTCGGACTCTGCCGTGATTTTGTCGCCATTACGAATGATTGTCGAAATAGTTGACTTTGCCAATTCGTAGTCATGGCTGAGCTTCGTCTCGGAGACTCCTTTTTGAAAGTGAGAGACAATTTCTGCCTTCATAGACAGCGAGATTCGCTTCTGTTTACCAGACATGTTTTCATACCCTGTCATCAGGACGGCGCCGTGCTTCCGGAAGTACAACAATGTATGAGTCGATCAGGAGCATTGCTAAGCAACGGACGGGGAATCCCGCACTGTGTATTTTGTTCATAACCAAGGTCGTGGCAGCAGTTAGCTTGCACAGTTCATTGGACCGAAGGCTTTTTCACTATTTTGTGGGAAGAATCTGGTCATTATCATGAAGTTTACGTTATAAAGGTGTTCGTTGTAAGCAAAATCGGCTTATATGAAGTCACACCCAATGATAGCTTGAACTTAGTGATGTTGGATTTTTCCAGTGGATCTTTCCAGAAGAAATTGGTTAACTCCAAATTGCACAACGTTTGTAGACTTACAAGATTCCACTGTACTCAGTTTGAACCGCAGCAGACACTCGTGTGCGTGTCTATCCATCACATACCTAAAAGTAGCTAATAATAAGCCTCGCAAGCATTGAGGAGGCAGAAAGTGGAACAGGATATTCTTACAAATACTTTGCTTCCAAGTGTGAGAATTATGTTTCTCACCTCATTTATTTGATTTACAAGGATGTCTTTATTGCTGGAGGAGCACCGGTGACACATTTTTCCTTGTTTGTTTACCATTCCCTTGTGTCTCCTACTTCACTACCTTTCCGTACACAATATGTTGGCACGCATGTGTGCGGTTCCGATGGCGCTGCTCACGCACTCTCTCCTCGCACACCTGCCACCCGGTAGCAGTACATCAAGCCCTGTGCGTTCACCACTCTTTGCACTGATTCTTTTACTTTTTCCGATAATACTTTGTGACCTCGCAGTCCACTGAATTAACGCTGCGAAACATTCCACACCCGCTTTGCCGTTTCTTCAAAACACTTAGCATCCAGGCTGTAATCCCCACTGTGCTCTGTTTTGTTTACGCTCATCGCCCACGCCTACATTTACATCCATTCGGTGCTGTTGGTCCTATCAAAAAGCATCTGTTGGTTTGTGTCATTAAGGAGGTGTGCGGGCATGTAGCGCAAATGATAGCAGTGGACTATTTCTGCCATTGGATGACTCCCCGCGAGCTAATTTGGGGCGGTTATATGGCAGCGGGGTGACGTTAAGACATCATTTGTGACCGGAGAGTCATTAGTGAGTCAATTCAGTGGATTACCCTGCTTTTCGGTGACTTTTACTCACTTGCATTGGGAAGTTGCAGCCTGACTACCACTGCACTTCTCTTTGGTTGACACACAACAGCGGCTCCAAAATAACAACGAGAGGCAATTGCCAATAAATAAATAAATAAAACGGTTAAGGAGACGACGCG